GTGACTAACTTGAGTATTGTTAGTGTATTTTGTATATTGTATTTTTGTACCTCTTTGTATGTAATATTTTGCTCTGTATTTTGTATCTTGTGTATCTTGTATCTGGTGTCTTGATATTGTGTATGATGATTGTATTTATGTCTTTCGAATAATTAAGTAGGAAAATTATGTTGTGGGTTCGAGCACCACGTTAGGATACTAATAGTGTTTTGTCTGTGTCTGATTCCATGTTAGTGTTTGTCTTGTAAATCCTACTCCTACTGTAATAAAAAAATAGCATTGTAAAATTCAACATTTAATTAATTATTTATTCAGTGATTGACGGCTAGCTCCTCTCAATAATTTCATTAATATCTTTATAAATCTTAGCTGGCCTGGCGCCCAAAAATAATCAAAGTCAATCACTCTCTCTTTATTATAAAAACCAAGTCAATAATTTGCAAGCAAATCAGCCAAAATCTAGCTTTGTGTGCCACCACCCCTCGCTCTACCGTGACAAATAATGGCGCCCAACGTTTCAAGAAGTGTTTAATGTTCTGTTTTGTTTGTAATGTTGTTGTGCACTTGTTTTCCACATTTATGCTATGTTACTATGTATATTTCCCTTGCCTTGCCTTATTTACTGCTGGTATGTGCATTGTTTATTGTTGCTTCCTATTGTTAATTTTGAGTGTGTTTCTGAAAGCTTGTTGTGTCTGGTCAATACTTCAAGAATTGTGCATCAAGAAAATGGGGCGGCCTCCGTCTCCTTAATTGTTTTTCACTTGTTGTGAAATCGTGCTTTGTGATAGTGACACTTTAACTCTATTTGAGTTTCAATTGTACTTGGTCATCAAGTGACCCTCTGTATGAACAGTGATTGAGAGTTTTGCTATTGTATATTACTCTCTTAGTAATTTTGATTATAATTTTCACCATGGCTACTTATCGTGAAAATGCCCCCATGGATCCAGCCACACTCCACGTTGATGAACTGGAGTATGAATTGGAGATACGTGGAGTTATACCAACTCCAATCGAAGACAATTTTGTTGGTCTCATGCGCTTGCTGGACACCCACAAGGACTCTCCAGTTTTAGAAGAAAGCATTGGAAAACTGAATATAAAAGAAGAATATGGCAAGCTGGAATGGAAGGCCAAGGAACTTGAAGCCTTAATTATAGAAGCAAGTGTGTCAGGATTGATAGTTGACAAGCCTTACAGAGTTATCAGTCTGTTTGTGCACTGCATCCTGCGCATTCGTCGAGTGATGTACCGGTGCTACAGCCACACTGGGGCGCTTTTTGTGGACTTAGGCAAAAAGTTCAACCGTCTTCACGAACTGCTGACTTCCCTTACCCCACATAGTCTGGTACTGCCTAGACTTCATCTTCCTGTAGAAGGCGATCTAGACTTAGAAGAGCAGCTTCAGGCGTTGTCAATCAAGAGAGAGACTATCTCTACCAAGCCTCAGCCAAGCAACCTTTCTTCGCCTTCACACTCCAGGCGCTCTTCCCCGAAAAGGAAGAAGAGAGATAAGAAGAACAAAAAGAAAAAGAAAAAGAAGAGCAGCAAGAAGTATAGCTCTTCATCCTCTGACTCGAGCAGCACCTCATCCAGTGAGTCCGGATCTGACTCTACCGACTCTGAAAAGGAGAGTAGGAAAACAAAGGAAAGAGGTGGAAACCCTCTCTCTCGGTGGAAGTGGCGTTTCTCTGGAGAGGAAGACTTGTTCACTTTCCTGGATAAAGTAGAAGAGTCCGCTGAAGTTCATGGCGTCAGGGACTCTACACTCCTGGCTGGGATTTCCCTGCTTTTGGAAGGCGACGCTCACCTGTGGTTCCGAGCTAAAAAGAAGACCATCTCTTCCTGGAAACAATTCAAATCAGAAATTAAAGGCGCTTTCGACCCGAATGAAGACGATGAGCAGATACTGAAGAAACTCCGCAAACTGAAACAATCTTCTACAGAAACTTATGTTGTGTTCGAAGCCAGATGTGAAGAGTTGTTTGCGAGACTGCAGAGACCACTCAGCAGTTCTGAAAAGTTGAAGAA